CAAGATCTCATTCCTTTTTATGGCTGAGTAATATTCCATTATATAAATGTACCACATGTTCTTTAACCATTTATCTGTTGATGGGCACTTAGGTTGTTTCCATGTCTTGAAAACCATCTAAACTAGGCCTAGATCATTATTATAAATAACACTGCAATGACCATAGGGTTGCATACATCTTTTCAAGTTAGTGTTTTAATTTTCTTCAAATAAACATGCAGAAGTGGAATTGGTGGATCATGTGATAGTTCTATTTTCAATTTTTGGGGGAACTTCCATACTGTTTTCCATAGTGGCTGCACCATATACATACAGAGAAATTTACATTTCTGCCAACAGTGCACGATGGTTCCCTTTTCTTCATATCCTTGCCAAAACTTATTACTTGAGTCTTTCTGCTAACAGCCAGATAATTTTTTTTCTAAATAAACAGACTATTCCCTCATCAACTAGGGTTATTTTTTTACTCTAAAATGAAATTCATTCAGGAAAGGAAAGATAAAAGCTTAATTCTTTTCCTTTGACAAATTTCAAAATTAACGAATTGGTGCCCAGTTATATCCAATGATGACCAATAAGTTTAGTTTTGCTTTGTTTTTTGGGCCTTTAAAAAAAGTATCATGATTAACAAGTATTTTCTTTATTTAAATGTGTTTAAATTAGTGGTAGTCATTTTTCTTTTTGATGCTCAGATTGTCCTATTTTTGGCAGTGAGAGCCACTTTAAGCTGGCTCCTGAATCCTATTTTTTTTTAATTGTTGTAAAAAACACACAGCACAAAATTCACCATCATAACCAACTTCAAGTATACAGCTCAGTAGTGGTTAACTGTAGACACTGTTGCACGGCAGATCTCTAGAACTTTTTTCATCTTGCAAAACTGAAACTCTGTACCCACTGAACTACAACTCCCTACCTCCCCTTCTCCTCCCTCCCCGTCTCCCAGCAACCACCACTCTATTCTCCGCCTCTAAGAATGACTACCCTGGACAACTCATGCAAGTGAACCACACAGTATGTGTCTCTTTGTGGCTGGCTTATTCCACTTAGCCCAATGTCCTCAAGGTTCATCCAAGTTGTAGCATGTAATAGGACTTCCCTCCTTATTAAGGCTAGTATTCCATTTTATGTATGTACCACATTTCCCCCATCCATTCATCCATAGATAGATACCTGGGGTGCCTCTACCTCTTGGCTGCTGTGAATAATGCTGCAATGAACATTGGTGTGCAAGTATGGCTTTTTGATAAGGCTATCTTAGTTTCCTTGCTCTCTGACACAACAAAATATCCCAAGCTCATCCTGTATGTTTTCTTCTAATAAATGTAGAAGAAATGAGAAAATAGGAAATCACCATGTTATAATCGCTAGTGAAATAATTGATTTAAGCAATAATCATCCATGAAAGAAACAAGTTTAGTGGGAGCCTGAGCCCACACAGCAAACTGAGCATCGTCAGAGTGGGATGTCATATGCTCTCTGACATGGGGAATACAAAGTTCACACCATCACCTACACTAAAAATTAGTTGAACATGAACCTAAGCAAGTGTTTAGAATTAATCTACAGTCTATAGGAAATACAGAGGCTAAAAGAAAAGGCTACATACTAACACAGAACGAGGGACATCCTACCAGATAAATGTCCTGCTTTTTTCAACAAGTCAATGTTAGGAAGAAAGAAAGAGGAAACTACAATCACAAAGATGAAGGCTGTTATAGATACACATATGTCTTTAGAGATATAGTAACCAAAGGTGACAATGGGCCTGATTCAAGCAAATCAATCATAAAAAGATATGTTTATTTTCATCAGGGCACATTTCAAAATGGACTGGGTATTAGATTATACCATGAAATTATTGTTAATTTTCTTAGATATGATAATGGCACTATGGTCATGTAAGAAAATATCCTATCTTTTTCCTAAGAGATGTGTACTGAAGAACATAGGAGCAACATAACAACATGTCTGTCATTTGTCTTAAATAAGAAAAAAAAGACAATGCAAGTTTGCGAACATCTACATCATTGTTGGGTTGGGGTTCATTACATATTCATTCTATTTTGTGCATGTTTGAAAATCCTCATGGGAAAAACTTTCATGAAATAAATACAGCATATTGTCGAAGCTGTTTTTGTTACCTGTATATGGCCGGATCGCCTAGGTCGAGGGTCTCACTGACATAGTCGGCCAGGACGAACGGGAACACGGGGTACTGCATGAGGTCATTGAAGGACCGGCCGGCATGTTTGTTTAAGTGAGTCAAATATTCAAAATTAGTAATTTGCCCAGTATACCACAGATTTGTCAGAGCGGTGATGTTGCCGTATTCCAGAAGGTTGGGGAGGTTATTTGTTAGTATACTGTGGTACACATCATCACGAACCTACGAGGGCAGGAGAAAGGAAACAATCAGATTTCATGTTTAGGCAACTTAAACACTTTCCTCCATGACAGTATAGACATGTTACTAATCTCAAGTCCTCCAAGAAAACACTTTTTGCCCAGTTGACGTGAGCTGGCAGAGAACTGAGACTCAGATGCAGATCCTCCTCCAGTGGCTGGCCCGTTAGTTACTACGTTGTGCTGCTGGAGAGTCTGTTAATAAGAAACTAAAAAA